TGGGGGGAGCCCCGGCTGGCGCGGCCGCCGGGGGAGCGGCAGCGGCGGCGGCGGCGGCGGCGGCGGCAGCGGCAGCGGCCTCGGTGCGGCAGAGCCCCGGGCCAGCCCTGGCCCGGCTGGAGGGCCGCGAGTTCGAGTTCCTCATGCGGCAGCCCGCCGTCACCATCGGCCGCAACTCGTCGCAGGGCTCCGTGGACCTCAACATGGGCCACTCGAGCTTCATCTCTCGCCGCCACCTGCAGCTCAGCTTCCAGGAGCCGCACTTCTACCTGCGCTGCCTCGGCAAGAACGGCGTCTTCGTGGACGGGGCCTTCCAGCGCAGGGGCGCCCCGGCCCTGCAGCTCCCCAAGCAGTGAGTAGGAGCCGGCGCCCGGGGCAGCGCGGGAGGGGCCCGGGGACGACCCCCTCCCCTGCGCCGGGCTGGGCGGGCTCCCACGCCCCCAGCGTCCGTGGGAACCCCCCCCACACACACACGTTTGGGGGCGGGGAGGCCCAGGAGCAGCGGGGTAGGAGATGAGCTCGGCGTGGGGTGTGAAACGTGGCTGTTGACCTTCCTCTTCCTCCTTCCTCCCCCATACACACATACGCATATGTAGACACATATACACAGCGCGCGCGCGCACACACACTCTCTCTCACTGAGTGTTCCCCCCCACCCCCCCCCCCCAACGGGGAGGCTGCTTTAGGCAGATGAGGCATCACCCCTCTTGGTTGGGAAGGTAATGTCAGTCTGGAAGGTGGGGGTGGGGGGCTGGGTAATGTCAGTCTCGGCCCCAGGGGGCCTGGAGGGAAATATGTCATGGTTTTTCCAGGAGAAGAGAGCTGTCTATTGGATCCTGAGAGTTGCTAGTAGGGAAGGGTGCAGCTTCTTTCCGGAAAGACTGGGAGAGAGTTTCATTGCCTTGGGAGGGTGTTTACCTGCCTAGGAGGTTGAATTCTAAGGAGGTGGAAGAGAGCGGTCCCTGTAGACTCTGTTACCTCTGGGGGGTAGTGACGAGTCGAAAGAGTGTGGTGCTACCTGTAGGGAGGGCGACCTAAGGCCCAGAAAGAGCTTTGGCCTGAGGGAGGGAAGAAAGCAGATTGGAGAAACTGGAGCAGGGATATTGTTTTCACATCTTTGAGGAGGAAGGGGAGGTTAGAGGCAGCTAGCATAGGAAGTGCTTGCTGTAACCCAATTTATGTACCTTTAAAATGGCTATAATAAAAATAATAGCGTCCTCCATACCTCAGAGGGATATTGTTACAAGTTACGAAGTGTTCATGAAAAACCTTATAGAGCAACAACAGTTATTAACCCTTTTGTCAGGAAGGAGGAAATAGCAGGTCTGGTAGGCCAAGGCATGTAAGAAATCTTTCAATTCAAATTCTGCCCAAAAACTAAACGAATAATTATGGTTGTCAGTTCATCTCTGGATGGCAAAGAGAAGCAGTGATAAAATTTTCAGGAGCAGACTAGTGTATTTTATGTGTTTCTTAGACTTTTTTTCCCCTCCTACTTTGCCTTCTGCAGTAAGTTACCTTTTATTGTTTATAGATGAGTATTCAGTTATCATAGTTCCACTCCAGAAGCATGGTCCAAGAGATCTTTGCTTTCTTGCCAGCAACGTTGATCAGCATAAAGTATTTTTAATTCTTCACTTCCTCTGATGGCTTTTTTTTCCTTTTTAATAATTACTTGTAACACCCATTTTTTTCACCTGGTGTATTTCTTGGTTTAAAGAGTTGTCTTTTGATTGTCCAATCTCTCTCTCTTTTAATCTCTCTTTTTTTGCAAGTTCCCTTAGCTCAAGGTATTTCTGCTCTAATAGTCCCTAAAGCCTTAGGGTTTGTTTATGTAAACTTCTTCACTTTCTAGTTTCTTAGGCTATTTAAATGTAAACACTGCATTGATTTTCAAGTGTCAGAAAGAGTTGCTGCTGTCCCCTCTACTTAGGACTTCTAAGAACATACGTTTCTTTTCCTTAGGGCTTAGGACAGAATTCTAGTGCCATAAAATTGAGAATTCTTGAAAAATCAAATAGCCTTACTACAGGCTTCATTTTTGCATAATATCTTTTTAGCTAAAACATATATCCTCACTGCAGACTATGAAGTTTATTCATGACATATAGTTCTGCCTTTAATTCTTTTGTGAATTGTCCCCTCCAACAACTGCCCATCTTCCCTTGCAATCCTGTTTGAGGCCTGTTTTTGCTAATACAGTTTTATGTAATTTGTGTTTTTTAAGTGCTTTTATTAACAGTCTTGTTTTTTCAGGGTTTCTTACCTTAGTCATGAAACAAATATACTCCTGCTTGGAGGTGGCTTATATAGCTGACATTCCTTTAGCATTTTAAAGTTTGTAAATATCTTTACATTTATTATTATTTATTATTATATTTATCTTGTTTGAGCCTTACAAGAACTGTTTGAGGTAAGCACCATAGAGTGTTAGACATTTTAGAGGTGAGGAAACTGGGAGTTAGTTCAAATGACTTGTTAAGTGATATATTTAGTGACTGGCAACACAGCAAGTGTTGGAGGTAGGATTTGAACCCAGGTCTTCTGACTTCAAGTCTAATATTCTATCTACTATGCGTCCTCTCTTTTCTGAATCTTAAATGAAACTGGAAGGTAAAATTCTTATCTGTTGTTTCTATAACTCAAAGAAAAGAGTTACACTTGTGCTTCCTTCACTCACTGAATGATCCAATATTATCTGTTATTTTTAAAGGTTGTTCTTTACGTGTGTGATGCTTTGTATGTAAAAATAGACTACTACCTCCAAAGGCTTGCATTTTTATTTGATATCTCCTAAAGAAATATGGTAGTCATTGGTGGACTAAACATTTGACCGTCTACTTATTTGTGTTACCGTTGTGAACTGTAATCCATTGTGCCAGTCTGCTGCCATTTTTCTTCAGCAGCAGTAGTTCTGAGCAGTATTCTTGGTGTCAGTAAAGTAAAATTTATAAGAGCAGTGAACAGACATATGAGGGAAAATATTAAGTAGATACTTCTGTTACAAAAAGAAGGTTGTTTTGCTGGTGTAGTGTAGAAGCTATTGGAGCTGTTTATTTACCAACTCAGTTTTATATCTTTTTATTTTAAAAACTTGGACCTCAGAAATAATATTCAGAATAAGTCATTGTAATCTTTCAGAGTATTTTGAACTGAAAATCAGTACTGAAAGGATTCCAAAAAAATTTTTCAGGACAGAGCAAAGGTCTATATTTAAATTTTCTAAACAAAGAAAAGGGGAATTTATAATTTTTTTTAAGGCAGTAATCAGAGTTTTCAGGGTTGTTATTTCTATTTTCTCCAGTCTGTGTTCTCTCATTTACTGATGAGCAGTTCTGTCAGCAGTACTTGGACTCCTGAGTTCCATTGCAGCAATTCCATTGTCCAGATTCTTTTGTCTTATTGAATATTGTTTGCAATACATGAGGCACCATTGCCTGGAGCTTGGAAATCTTTTCTTTTCATTGTCATAGTAACTGCAATAATTGGATTTGACCACTATTCAGAAGTTACCAAATATGTGCAATCTCTACTAGGATCACTAAAGATAGGAGGAGTGTAATAATAGACTGTGTAAGCCAATATTGACTTGTTAATGTTTTTTAGTGTTGCTATAGTGTTATTTGATCAGTTCTCTAGGATTCTCTTCAGCTCTATAGATACAGGTGAGATATTTACAACTTGTATTGGAGAAAAAGTGACTGGTTCAGTCTGGTTTCTTGAAATGGACCCACTAGCATGATATAAAGAGAACTCACGTGCTGTTGTTTCCTTTATTTTTAATCACTAATGTGATTAAAAAGGACGAAGTTGGACTAGGTCGCTTCTAGGGTACCTTCTAGCTTGGAACCATGTTTTGATAAATTCATATGATCTGATACTTTTATGTTTTGATGTCTTTTTAGCTTCTGTTCATGTTAGATTTCTTATATAAGAGAGACAGAAGAGTTTTCTTTGAAATAAATTGATAACACAACTCAGGAACTTAACTTTTACTTTTGGGGGGGGCTGGGCACTGGGAGTAAGTGACTTGCCCAGGGTCACACAGCTAGTAAGTGTCAGGTGTCTGAGGCCAGATTTGAACTCAGGTCTCCTGACTCCTATGCTTATGAACCTATCGTTCCTTTTATCCTGTGCTGTACAACTGAGTTTATTTACATTACTCACCAGAAAGACACACTGAATGGCAGATTCTTTGGATTTCAATTTGTAGACAGATACAATAAAAAAGAATCATTTTGTATCCATCAATATACTTCACTATATGTAAAGAACAGAACACAGTTTAACAGTTTAAAGGAACATTCAGGCACTGATTATTGCTTTAGATTACAGTCACTTGAAGACTTAGGAAATAAATAACCATTAACTAATCATCAAATTGAATGGATTTGGAGTTTCCTAGAAAATGTTTAGAATCCCGAAACTTATTTCTCATATGCTTTTTGTTTCACCATTCTGCTTTGTAGTTTATCTGAGGAAGTATATATATATATATATACATATACATATATATATATATACACATATATATATATATACACATGAATGTCATATTCATATATCTATATCTATATATCTATATCCATGTATTAGATTTCATGATATAGGCAAGTAGTACAAGAATTCAAAGAAGGGAAAACCATGACTGACTTCCTGGAGGAGAAGGATTTGGAGGATTTGGATTGGTGAAAAGAATAGAACTTCCACAGAAGGAGGATCATTAGCAAGCAGGAGTAGTAAGGTCTGATTAGATCAAAGAGGCAGTAGATTTTGTGAAAGATGAGGTTGGATAGTAAAGGTATGTTGCTGGAATACCTTTGTGTATCAGTCAAGTTGAGAAATTTGGATTTGATAACATAAGCAGTAAGGGAGTATGATAGCGCATTGAGTGATATGAAGACCGAATTAAATCATGCAGTATTTGTTAGTAAGTATTGAAATGGGTAGAGATTAGAAACACTGATAATAGTTTAGAGATTGTTGCAGTAATCTAAGTATTGCAAATGGAAATGCTTTCCAGGGTTAAATTTTAGAGTTCCTTGTAAGGAAGAATTGATCAAACTTTGTGTTTTTAAGGATGTGCAGGACAAAGGTGATGGGCTACAAATCCTATGATTTGATGTTATTATGATTATTATTGCTAATAATAATAATATAGCTAACATTTTTATAGCACTTTAAGGTTTATAAATCACTTTTAGGTTTGCAAAGTGAGTAGAGAGGAATCACATTAGCTTAGTATCAAAGTCTTTTGAGAAGGTTGAAAAAGTGACTTGTAAATTGGTAGATGACAGAATGGGGAGAGGGTGGGGCAGCTGAGCGGAATAATGGATAGAGCACTGGTGTCTG